ACTGCACAGGCTGGGTGCCCGAGTGGCCAGTAGCCACTGCAGTGGGTAGGATTCTCCAGAGCAGCCCAGCTCCAGAGTTATCTGAATCAACTTGGAGATGCTTCAAAGCCACGAGGTTGTAAGAAAATTATCACAGAAAATGGCTACAGACTAGAACACAAGCAAGACGACATCTAAAGATCTATTTTTATTTTATGTGTATGAGGTTTTTTGCTTGCGTGTATGTCTGTGTACCATGTGCATGCAGAGCTGGCCCAGGCCAGAAGAAAGCGTCAGATCCCTGGAATTGGAATTGTTAGTCACCATGTGGGTGCTGGGAGGAACTCAGGTTCTCTGGAAGAGCAGCCAGTGCTCTGAAAGGCTGAGCCATCTCTCCAGCCTCACTTTAATGTGAAAAACGGAAGACACATAAAGACATGCAGTGTCAGTCAAGTGCATACGGTCTTTGGCTGCCTGAGTGTTCCTGCTCAAGGTCAAGGGCAGATAGCATTTTGCTTTCTCCTCCTCCTCTCTTGCCTGCTCCATATCTTCTTTAGCTTGAGCCTCTGCTGCAGATGGGGAGTTTAAGCAGTCACAGTGGGGTTCCTCTGGGGACCAAAGCAAGCAGGATTGGCCATAAGCCCCAAAATGGTATCTTACAGCTGCTTAGATAACTGTGCCAGTGACAAAGTGGTGGTGGTGGGTGGTGGTGGTGGTGATGGTGATGGTGATGGTGATGGTGGTGGTGGTGGCGGCGGCGGTGGCGGCGGTGGCGGCATGTGTACACGCCCCTCCCACACTTGCAATGGCCAGGAAAACTCAAACCCATAACCATGCTGCCCACTCCTAGGCCAAGCAGCATCTCCACTAGACTCCCAGGCTCTGACCCATACCCACTGTTGCCCCCCGACACTTGGCTCTTCGCCTTAGCCACACACACAGTCTCCAGTTGGATACCAAGCTTTCCAGAGACAGGTCTGAAGCCCGATAAGGCAAATGGAGGCTTGAAGGAAAAACAGCCAGAGTAGGAAAGAGGAAAGAAAGAGAATCCGCTGAAGAACTGGGTGGGGGGTGGGGGTGGGGGGGTGGGGGGAGGTGACAGCCACTGAGGTTTAGTTGAGTTTTTTAAGTGACAACTGCTCCGGTGACTGGGAGAGAGATCCTGCTGTAAAGATTGAGGGGCTGTCTGCTCTAATGAGAGACACTTGAAAATTATGGATCAGTCCCAGGCCAGTAATTTCTGTCAAGTTCAGGGCAGCTGGAGGTCAGAGGCCCCAGTAGAACACTAGTCTGGGCAAGACCTCTGTGGCGAGCAGGCTGGAGCCTCCCCTGTGATGTAGCAGGTTGTGGTTTAAGTAATTAATGAGGAGAACAATCTCTCCTGAGACATCTGGTCCCCTAAATTGTTATTCTGCTACTGGCTCCAAAAATAGACAGAGCAAGGACACAGAATCCGACCCTCCCTGCTGACACACGCTGGGCCTTCAAAGCACATCCGACCGGGGCTGTGCAAGCAAACCTACTGCCTCCCAGCAAGGGCTCTGTTCCGCGCCGAGCCACACGAGTCCTGACTCACGAGTGGAGATGGGTTGGGAGAGGAACCACCTTCACTCGACAGGAGAGGGGACTGGAGTGCAGAGACAGACACCAGTCTGAACAGGTCCCGCTACGAAGTGGCAAAGCCAGAGCAGGAAGGCAGGTCTGTGTCTAGCCACTCACCAGGCCCGGAGAAATCATGGGCAATTGTGCCTTTGAACATGAGACTCTGGGGCCAAAGAGGTGGTTCAGTCAGTAAAGCATTTGCAAACACGAGGCTTGAATTTGATCCCCAGCACCCACCTGTGAGTTGGGTGTGGCAGCACTCCCCTGTCATCTCAGCACTGGGGAGGCAGAGAAAGGCAGATTCCTGGAGCACACTGGCCAGGCTGTCTGGCAAAATCAGTGAGCTCCAGGTGCAGTGAGAGATGCTCCCTCAAATAAGGTCAGTGAGATTCCTCTGCAGGGAAAGTGAGTTGGACCCCCAGAAGCCACGTAAAGATGGAAGAAGAGATCTGACTCCACAAAGCTGTCCTCTGACCTCCCACCCAACACGGACATCACCCATGTGCACGCACAGTAATAAATGAATAGAATAATTTTAAAAGCGCAGAGTTGGAAAACGGAGAGAGAGAGGATGAAGAGTGATCGAGGAAGACGGCGATGTTGACTTCTCGCTTCCACATCCATGTGCACACATGTGTCACACAGACAAATGAAAGTCCAGGCTCCCTCCATCATGCCTTAGGATTGGCTAAGGCCAGTCTGCAGCAGATGAAAACAAAATTGGACGACAAAGCTGTTTGCTCTTGCTGGCAGATAAACACTTTGGCAGCCTCAGTCACAAGGTAGCCGTCTGTGGCTACACTTGCCACAGACGTTCAGGTCAGGTCACACTGCCACTCTGGCACATGAGGCCTACCATGTAAGTGAGATCTGAGGGCACACCCAACTCCTATAATCACAAGTCAGCCAGCACCCTGCTCTGGCACCCACAGGACAGGGTCTGCACTGCTTGTTCATTTGTTTCAAGAGACTTGAGGGGTTTGGAAAATAGCTCAGACTTCATTCACTCCCCAAAATCCATAGGTTTTTTGTTCTCTCTCTCTCTCTCTCTCTCTCTCTCTCTCTCTCTCTCTCTCTCTCTCTCATAATCCCAGGAATGAGAAGCAGGGACAGGGCTTGCCAATCAGCAAATCTGGCCAAATCTGCGAGTTCTAGGCCACTGAGAGAAGCTGCTTTGAAAAGAGAAGAAGAGAGAAAAGAAAGGGAGACTACCTGAGGACTGACACCACAGCCGTCCTCTGCCCTCTACACGCACTTGTGCACACATGCGTGCACAGCCCCTCACAGATGTGTACACATACACAAGAGGGAGAGACCGGAGACCTGACTATTTTCTTAGCACTCAAGTGTAGAAATCAATTATTTGGGCATATTTATAGTTTGTTGTTATTGTTGTTTTACCATTATCTCAGTCTCTCCACATCTCCAAAGACACATCTAGCCCAGTAACAGTCACTCCCAACCTCCGCAGTCACCCTCAGCTTCCTGTCCCTGTGGACGGGTATGGTTCGCAGTTCATACACCTGTGGTTCTTGGGGATGGCATTTATCCCTTGGCATGATGTTTTCAAAGTCTGCCCAGGTTGGAGGCTGGACATACCTCATTTCTCATGACTGAGCTGTACTCCTTTGCATGGACAGGACGTTGTTTCCTTTGCTTGTGTATTAGATGGATGCTTGAGTTATTTCCATTATCCACTTTTTATTTATTTACTATCATGGATGCTGTTAGGAATACCTACAAGTCTTTGTGTGGCTGTATGTTTTAATATCTCTTGGGTATACATAAGAATAGAGCTGCTGTGCCTTGTGGGACTCTGTTTAAGCTTCTAGCAAACTGCCAAAATATTTTTGCAAGGTGAGGTGGGGCATTTTTTATTTCCACCGGCAACATTTGGGTGCTCTGGTTTCTTCCCAGTCTTCTCAACACTTACATTGTCACATTCATTGTAGCCATACTCATGGGTGCAGGGACAGCTCATTGAGGCTTTGACCCACTTCCCTGGTGGCCAGTGATGCTGGCCATCTTGTGTACTGATGGGCAGTCTGAATGGCATCTTCAGACTGTCTTTGTTCAGGTCATTTGCTCATGTTGAATTTGGGGGCATTTATCTCTTTATTATTGAGTTGCCGTATAGCCTCATATATCCATAGGTGCAAGTCTCAGACAAGGCATGATTTGCTGGCCCATAACTCACCACGTAGCCAAGAATGGCCTTGAACTTCTAATCTCCAGTGTGGATTCACAGGTGTGTACTACCAAGCCCAATTTTCTTTTCGCTATCTTGAAAATAGTATTGGAGTGATAACAATTTTTTTTTCTATTTTGGTGAAGTTCAGTTTATCTGTTTTTCTTTAGTGATATATATGTATATATATGTGTGTGTATATATATACATATATATATATATATATATATATATATATATATATATATATATATATATATATATATATATATATAGTTTGTTTTGTTTTCTTTTTTTAAGACAGGGTTTCTCTGTGCAATCTTAGCTGTCCTGGAACTTGCTCTGTAGACCAGATTGGCCACTGACTCACAGAGATCCACCTGCCTTTGCCTCTGCCTCCCAAGTGCTGAGATTAAAGGCGTGCACCACCACTGCCCAGTGTAGCGAGTTATATTTTATTTCCTTTTGCATGAAGAACCATCTTGATGGGACATTATGAGAAAGAATTTAGGAATACAGCTAGTTAAGAGATTTATTTAAATGGCTCCTCAAAGCGTCCCCGGAGGCAACAAAGATGGATGTAGACCCTCCCTCCTTAGGTAGCTTCAAGTCACCCGGCCCTGGGACAACCAGTTGGGGGGGGCTGCTGGAGGGGGGACTCATCTCTCTATGGCAGGGTAAAACATAATGATTCAAGAGGCAGCCAGAGGCCAGTGGGGCCTGGAAAAGGCATGAATATGGACTCCCCAAGCCTTGTCAGTTACAGAACAGTCTTAGTTTGGTATGAGTGCAAGAACAAAATCAGGACCCAGGCATGCTTTCATAATTATCTTAAAGGAGAATGATGTGAGCCTTTTTAAAAAATGTATCTGCCTTTTAAACTGTCACAGTTGGGCTGGAGAGATGTCTTAGTGGTTAAGAGCACTGGCTGTTCTTCCAGAGGTTCTGAGTTCATTTCCCAGCACCTGCATGGCAGCTCACAACTGTGTATAATTCCAGTTTCAAGGCCCTCAGACAGACTTACATGAAGGCAAAATACCAACGCATATGAAATAAAAGTTAATCATTAAAAAAAAAAAAAAAAAAAGAGCTGGGTAGTGGTGGCTCACGCCTTTAATCCCAGCACTCAGGAGGCAGAGCCAGGCGGATCTCTGTACGTTCCTGGCCAGCTTGGGTCTACAGAGCGAGATCCAGGACTACACAGAGAAACTCTGTCTCGGAAAAAAAAAAAACAAAAAACAACACCTGTCACAGTCTTGAACAGGCTTTGGAGCAGGGGTGGAGAAGCTGTGGCCATGCCCTTGTAAGGAAAGACTGAGTTCCCCTGAGGAGGTCTTGAGCGAAGCCCCCAACCATCCCAATAGTCTTTCCACCCTGCGTCTGTCCCAGTGTGGCTTTCCTGGCACCTCCACCACGGCTTCCCTCCACGGAAACCCCAGAACCATCCATCGCCTTGGCCTTGCATCTTGCCTGCTCTTTGAAACACCTCAGCCCAGGAAGAATGTCACACTGGAAGTTGCCACTTGAGTGGGGGATAAATGTGACACACAGAGACCCCTGTCTGTCCCCATTTCTGTCTCCACCTCAAGCCCCCCACCTAACACACTCAGGCACACACACACACTAGCATACATGCTTGCACACACACCCTGGGATGCAAATGATAACCACCCACCCATCACTGTGAAGCTTGACAGAAAATAATGAGAAACACTAAATCTTTTATAAGGTCAACACTCGCCTTAGCCGAGCAGCTGTCAAACAAGAAAAGAATTTAGCGCTGGAGCCACGAAACTTCCATCGGCTCATTAAACCCAACAGGGCCCGGGCCTGGCGTGGCGGAGGAGACGAGGGGCCTTCCGTTTTGTGTCAGTAATTTGCGGTGGAGGAGGCAGAAGAAACAGCCAGCGCCAAAGGGGCCTGGGGGGCGACTGGGGAATCGTTAGCGCGCCAGGATCGGCCGCAGCTCCTAATTGGAAGCATTGGGCATTATCAACGGAGGATTTGCCTCAGCTCCTGACAGCTCGTGGGCCCAAAATGATCGCCCACTTGTCAGCGTAAAAGACCATTAAAAACAAACCGTTTTGATTTAATTGGAGGCGGTGCACTGTGGGACCAGGTGAGGAGGCTCGGCAATCGGCTCACCCGGGCTGCACCCCTCTCCCTCTGCGAGCTGGGCCAGGCCCAGGAGCCAGTGTGGGGTTTGTGTGTGTGTGTGTGTGTGTGTGTGTGTGTGTGTGTGTGTGTGTGTATGTGCAGACTTTTCGTCTTTCAAAAACTGTCTGAAAAAAGAGTGAATGGGAGACAGAGAGAACTTCACAGCTGCAGGGAGGTCTCTTTCCAATGGGCCTGTCAATAAACACAGTGACAAGCTGAATTGCTGAGAAGTGGCAGGGGTGGGGGGTGGGGGGTCCCCCTTTTCAGAGGCCGCATGAGAGGAGTCTGTTGGAGTCTGTTGGCTCTATTCTTTTTTTGGGGGGGAGTGTCCCCAGGCCTCCAGCCCCAGGGGCTTAGCCAACCAACAAACAGTGGGATATCCCAGTGGGTACCCCAAATTCAGCTGTAGTTTGCCTACCATTTCAGAATCTCAGAACATAGAAGGTCATGCTGGCTTATCAGTAGACAGCAAGACTTTCTTTCTCTGTCAGCTCAAGAAAGCTAGAGGGTTAGGAGAGGAGATATCCTGGAAGAGACCTTTCTGAGAACCCTCTGTGAATTCGGACAGCCCCCGAGAACTGGACTGTCTCAACATTGTCCCCTTGGGAGAGAGAACGGTCATCTGGTCAGCAATCCTACATGGTCCCTGTAAGCAGTCACTCATAGAAAGACTGCCTAAGCACCCATTGGCCTCTCTGACCAATGAAGGTAGGTACCTTCACACGGAGGATAGAGTCTGGGAGTAGAGTCACCCTGAAGCTGGGGCCCGTGGATGTGGTGTGTTGACTCTCAGATCCACAGGCATTCTCTCACACCACAGGCACTTCATAAATACTAACTGGCTCTTGTCAGTTCTCGAAGAGGAGAGGGGCATTAATCTCACTCCATCTCACAAAGCACTGATCTCATTTATTGCTTATAGCTTCTTAGACAAGACAACGCACACAGGCCCATGCAGTGCTGGAGAGGTGTGCTAGGGAGAGCCTGGGAGGCTCACAGCCGATCTCTTTTCCCAGACACCACTGCTCGTTTTGATAAAGGATCAAATGGGGGGAGACACTGGATCCCTGGTGAGCTTCAAACTCCAGAGCTCCAAATTTTGCTGCTGAATTTGGTCAATGGGGATTCCTTAATTACTTTCTCTGGAAATTTCCCTGGTAATGCTTTCTCAGGTGGTTATCTGAACGCACAGTTCCTCGGTTGACAGAGTCTTTGATTTTGTACTGTAAATTAAGTCCTTTGCTGTCCTGCTCATACGGCACCTCCCTGCACCTTATTGAGTATTCATGTAGGCTGTTGAGAAGCTCCCGCAACACTGTTAGGGTAGCCAGGGCCACACTCAGACGTTTGGTGCCTCAGCCTGCAAGTATGGGTCTTGATGTCACTATGTCTCATACTGGAATAATGATGAGGAAGACATTCTTCCGGTGTCTTTTAAGAAGAATAGAACTTTTCCATGGTCAATGATGCTAACCATGTCAAGTCACAGGTAGCAATATCAGAGCAAAGTATCCTCAGCCAGACAGGAAGAAGGTCGACACCATGTTCGGGACAGTGTCCTGGGGAAATGTCATCAGGTGGGACTCTGCTGAGGGTCTTGGGAATAACTTTACCATTAAGTGCATTCAATAGACATTTAACTAATATTTGCTATATAGACGAAAGGATGGATGATGGATAAATGTACACTGACAAATAGATGGAAAGATGGATGTATGGGAAGATGAATGGATACATGAATGTGTGAGTGAATGGATACCTGGGCTCATGCAAGCATGGATGGGTGGATGAATAGGTGCACAGATACATGGATGGATGAATGGATGCATGGATACATGAATGGATTAGGAACCTGCAGTGAGACAACAGAACCCTTAGAATTCATCTGCTTTGCTCAATTTAATAGAAGTGTAAGAAGTGTTTCATTTTCTCCAGTACCTTTACCTGTCTCCTTTCCGGTGACTTGAAGGTACCCAATGGATTGCATGTGAGGGGAAATAAGATATTCCAGAGTTGTACAAAGCAGAGCCAGCCCAGAGTGGAATTCAGATGTTCTGGGGCCCCCGAGTTGAGCATTTTCTAACTCTTGTTCAAGGTCTACTATGTGGGGCACAAAGGCGCACACAGCTTCACATCAACCACACTTCCCACAGCACGAGCATACCGTGGGGAACGATGAAGGTACTGAGGCAGGCTAGCTGACTTCCAGCCTGGGCCCCATCACCGTCCAGCCGTGAAACCAGGAGCCTCAGTTTCTCAAGTACAAAGGCAGGGTCACATGGTCCTTCCGTCCTGTGGGGTCACTGTCAGGCTCATGACTTGGCACCTGGTACCTGGCACTGGCATTCAAGGCAGGGAGGCTGTTACTATTGTGACTATGAAATGATACCCAAATCCAGCAGACTCTCCTGAGCACTCTCCAGGAAGCTTTCCCCACGGCGAATGAATCGGGGCATGTGACAGCATCTTCAACCACAGCTTTGTTCAGAAATGTGTGGAAGTACTGTTCCAATTGACAAATCATGGCAAGGGCTAAAGGTGGAGAAGACATTGCTGAAGGCCAGAGGTCACAGTCTGGGTGGTCCCCTATTGTTTCAAGGCAGGCCTCTACTTTCCACACTCAGAGCTCTGCCCCCAAGAGCAGTCAAGAACCTGCCAGCTGTGGAAAAAGTAACTGCCTTGGGAAATTTGCAAAGCTGTCATGTTCAAGGGGGAGCCAGGGATTCAGGGGGCTTCAGAAGCCAGAAATATAACCAGGAGGTGGGAGGCAGAAGGAGACAGATCTGCACTGAACTTGAGAAAGAAGTTGCCAAGGACTGATGGGTCCCTTCAAATCACAGGGAAAGTACCAGTGGGATGGTACTGGAGGCAGGGCCTCTGGGAGGCCATTAGGGTTAGATGAGGTCATGGACAGGAGCATCAATGATGACACTGGTGGCCATCTAAGGAACCCCCATCTCTGTCATCCCCCCCTGCCATGTTTCTCATATTTGGACGCAGTAAGAAGGTATGCTGGTCGGAACATGCCTGCACTGTAGACTGTGTTTCTGGCCTCCAATGCCAGCGCTCTACATCTGCTGCTGAGGCTGCCCAGCCCGGGGTACTCTGTGATAGCAGCCCTGAGCAGACTGGTCCTTAGGGCCTGTCACTAGCAGGCCTGGTTCTCCTTGGAGAGGCCAGCTCGCTGTATAACACACTGTGGCCACTCACCCACCCACCCTAGTAAATAAATCGCTCAAACTACCGAGCAGTGGTGCTGACCTTGACCCAGGGTGTTTTGATAACTGCTGGCCAAAGCACAAATCTGGAGGTTGCCCCACATGCGCTGGATCAGGTCCTAGGATCTTTACTCGAGGCCAGGTGTAGCTATGCTCGAGAGCACCTATGGGAGGAGATGAGCAGGCCTAACAGAGACCAGAGATTGTGCTTCGCCGTGACCGTCCCCTAGCCAAGCTTTGTGTGCACTCATTCCTCCTGATGGCTGTGCTCACATTGCAGTGAGGTTGGCAGCCGTGAGGCAAGTTGGACTATAGAGCCCGCTTGTGGCTTCTCAGCCTGCAAATTTAGCCATTTACCACAGTTGGTCTGTTTCCCACTTGCAACAAAGCATCCGGAGTCTGGCATCGACGGCCTCTTTCCTATTTAGCCTCAGGGCCAAACTGCAATTTAAAAGATGTCAGAGGTTTTATCAAAGTCTATGGCTTTCAGGGCAGTGGGAAGTATGGTTTACAGCAAGGGCTTAAATCAGCCAGAGCAGGGCTGGCCACGACCCTCTGGACACCCATCAAAGCCTTACTGCTGAGTGCCTTTTCTTCCCCTCTCCTCCCAGGCCCTGCAGTTAGCACCGCTGACCCCTGACCTCAGCTTCAAGCCCTCAGCCTTCAACAGCTCTTGCAGAGCCTGACCCTGGAGGCTGCCAGTCAAAGCCCAAGCCTCTGCTGGGCACCTTGCTGGCTATTAACTTGGGCATGTGACTGTAAGCCTGTGAGCCTTGGTTCCCTATCACCAAAGCAGGGGACTCTTTCACGCCACAGGGTTACTGAGAGATTGCCATGAAATGGGACAATTCACAGAGGCACCAGGCTGGTACCTAGAAAGATCTTGGCATGGGGGGTCAAGGACATGGCTGTCACCGCATCCTGGGGAATTTGTCTTCACTTACTGTTTCTCGATCTGCTTCCATCCACAAGTCCTTGGTTAAATCTCCCACAATTATTTGTGTTGCTCTAAAATACCATTTCCCAGGATGCCTTTGAGTAGAGCAAGGGAGGAGGCTGTGGTATCTTCCAGGGTGTTCTCTGACGCCCTTGAGGATGCATCTTCTCCATAGGAAGCCAGTGAAGGTGTACTTGCCCTTGAAACAGCTGCATACATCTCACCAGCTTATCCACAAATGCCAGGTTTATCCCCCAAATCACGGAACACCGTTTACCTGCTAGAACCCACCATGGGCGTCAGGCAGCTTTAAGGCCCCCATTTCACCAAGCACTTTGGTGCTTGTGGACAGAAGATGACAAGTGGGACATGGAGGAAGACACCTCAGAAAGGACAGGCTCCTCCTTGTGTCACAGGTTCCTCCCTGAGTCCTCCTTAGCTTAGGGAAGGTTTATTCCCTTGGAGATAAAGAAGACATTAAGAAACTCCAGGTCTCCCCATTCCCAAAAGTCAGCATGAGATTCTCACCGTCTTTGGCGGTTGGAGATCTGCAGCTGGGCTGAGTAGGAAGCTCAGCTTGCCTGGCACAAACGAAGTCATGGGTTCAAGCCCCAACACTGCATATCAGGTACGGTGGGGCAAACCTATAATTCCAGGGCTCAGGAGGTGGAGGCAGGAGGATCGAGAGTTCAAGCCCAGGGGTTAGAGAGACACTTCAGCTGTTAAGTGCACATACTGCTCTTGTAGAAAGCCCGAGTTCAATTCTCAGTACCCACATCTGGCTCACACTTGCTTGTAACTCCGGCTACAAGGGATCTGATGAATTTAGTCTCCGCAGGCACTTGCACTCACATGTACATACATAACCACACAGACACACATATAATTAAAAATAGGTGTGTGAGGCCTGCCTTGGCTACATAGTGAGTTTGAGGCCAGCCTGGGATCCATGAGTCCCTGTCTCAAGAAAAAAGAAAAGAAAAGAAACATAAACATATATTGACAATGTTAAATAAGCTATCTGTATTTTGGTTAGTTTTCTTTCTTTTCTTTTTTTCTTTCTTCCTTGTTTCTTTCTGTTTTTCCTAAGACAGGATCTCACTGTGTAGTTCTAGCTGTCTTGAAACTTGCTCTGTAGACCAGGTTGGCCTTGAACTCACAGAGATCCGCCTGTCTGCCTCCTGAGTGCTTGGACTAAAGGTGTGTGTCACCACAGCCAGCTTCTGGTTGGTTTTCAACATAAATATTTTCATACCCAGGAGGGAAAAAGAACCTTCTGGATTAAGTTGAAAATGCCCAGGCGCTGGCAGGATTCACGGTCTGGGCCCCCACGTGGCAGCACAGGGCCCGTGGGGTGCCAGCCTTGGCTCCCTCTTGGTGTCTTTTTCTCCAGCACCACTGTAGCAGGCATTCCAGATATTTCTGCCGCTCCAGGTACCTGGCCACCACTCTCTCCTCTGCCCCAGCCCAGGTCTGTCCTTCCTTTCCTGTCCCATATCTTCAGCTCTGGCTGTTTGTGGACATCAATGTCACCCCCTGAGCAGGAAACCCCAGAAAGTGTCCGATTATGTAAAGTCTCCATTCCTGTTCCCTCCCAGGCAGCTCTTCTGCCCGGATCTGTTTATAACAGGACAGCTGTTTGTAGGGAGGGTGGTCGGCTGCACCAAGCTTCCAAGTCATTCTCCAGTCTCCCGATTCCACCTGTGAATGTCCCCTTCCTGCACTTAGTGCCCTTGCAGGTGACATCAGAAGATTCTTACTCCAACTTGAGAGTGACAGGTTCCTTAAAATATTCCAGTCTGAGGCTCAGGGAGGGCTGCAGATCTGCCTTCTGTCCTTCATGCTTGGGTCTTGCAAATGGGATGCCCAGGTTAGACTCCCAGGTGGCAGGGAGTGGTCCCTCTTTGTGCTAAGTTCTTGGAAGAGGTGGGGGCAGTAGGGTGGACTGGGTTAGAGACGCTCTGGGGTTTAACAGAGAGTTAACGTTGCAGCCAGCTATGATTTGTAGGAGAGCTTAAAGGTGGCAGAGAAAATCCTTTTCTTACATTCAGCAGCCTCTCCTAATCGGCTGCTTCTCCGGGTGGCCCTGCTTGGCTGACTGCAGATGCATTTTCTTCCCTCCATCTCTAGCTCCTGTTAAGGAGCCAGAGGCCCAGGAGACCCAAGGCAGGGTTAGTCTTCCACAGAAAGAGGAGGCTGATTCCAACGTCCAGAGCATAGGAGCTTGTAAATCAAACTGTTAGCTTAATGGCTTGGGCCATTATTCTAAAGCAGTGGGGCTGAAACCAAAAGCCAAATGAAAATATAGTCAATTTGTTCATACTTTAGTGACTGAAAGACTATGTAATGTTGGTGGAGATCGGCACTGCAGACAGACAAGGACTGGCAGGGAGGATGGAGTGTCTGGCCAGAGATGGGGCTGGGATGTGCCTTGAGCAAAGCCCTTTCTTTTTGTGTGTGTTGTAGGTGTGTATGTGTGCATGTGTGTGTGTGATGTGTGCGAGTGTGTGAATGTGTGTGCGTGTGTGTGATGTGTGCATGTATGTGCGTGTGTGCATGTGTGGGATGTGTGTGTGTGTGATGTGTGTATGTGATGTGTGTGTGTGTGTGTGTGAGATGTGTGTGTGGTGAATGTGTGTGGTGAATGTGTGTGGTGAATGTGTGTGGTGAATGCACACATGCAGCTGCCTGGATGATACAGTTGTCATTATAGGAGCTGTCACCACCTCCCCAATGTGGGGTTGCTGGCTAAGTGAACACTGCGTAACTGGGGACAATACCTCTCCAAACTTCCCCCACCTGTCTGTGTATCTTCCCATTTGTCAGTCTTGTCCATCTTGTGCTCATTCAATGGCTGGTAACTCCATGGCATCGGCAGTGGCCAAAGTTTCTGGCTCATTCACCACCATGTCCTCAGATTCTTTTTTTTTTTTTTTTTTTTTTTTTTTTTTTTTTTTGGTTTTTCGAGACAGGGTTTCTCTGTGTAGCTTTGCGCCTTTCCTGGGACTCACTTGGTAGCCCAGGCTGGCCTCGAACTCACAGCGATCCGCCTGGCTCTGCCTCCCGAGTGCTGGGATTAAAGGCGTGCGCCACCACCGCCCGGCGTCCTCAGATTCTTACCAGGACCTGGCATGAAGTATTCAAGGCAGAAACTTGTGAATGAATGAGTGAATGGATGAATGAGTAAATGAATTGATAGGTGAGTGAGTAAGTGAGCAGATAGATGGATGAACAAATGAATGGATGCATGCATGTGTGCATGCATGAATGAATGAATGAATGAACAATCACCCCCACCCTTGGAGTATGTATTGCCAGCTTACTGTGAGTCAGGAGCTCTGCTTAATTCTACACACACACACATCACACATCACACACACACGCATCACACACACACACACAGACATCACACACACACATCACACACACACATCACACACACCACACACACACATACACACACACACACACACACATCACACACACACATCACACACACCACACACACACACACCACACACACACATACACACACACACACATACACACACACACACACACACACATCACACACACACACCACACACACACACACACACACACACACACACACACACACACACACACACACACACGTGCCCTGCCAGAGACCTTCATTTGACAGAAAAGGGTATAAGTCTTAGACAGGCAAAGCCACCTCACCGGACAGAGCAAGGTACCATCACTACTTGACTGCCTCACACTGGAGGCCCTCTCTCTCACACACACAGATACTATACCAGCTCGTTCTCACCTCCCTGCCACTGGCCTCCATCCTCCTCTGCTGTCCCTAGCACACACTACAGACAGCACAAGAGTCCCCATGACACTGGGAGCAGGGGGCATCAGCCCAGTGACTCTTCCCTTAAGGGTGGGAGATGACTTCATGTCCCCCACACGAGAACTCAAGGAAGAGTCTGAGCTCTTCTCCTAATGGTTTGGGGTCCTTCACCTCCAAGAGTCCTCACTCCCCCTCCCACATGGCTCCATGGCCAGGTAAGAGAAACCATGGAGCCGCAGTCCTGAGCAGGCCTCTCAGGCCTGAACCTACTCTCTCCTTTTTGGATGTGGAGATCGAGGCTCCAAACTTCCAGCCTCTCAACGGAGCCCTCACACTATGAACATCCCGGCTGGAAGGCTCCCAACCCACTGCTGGGTCCCTCCACCCTGGCACTGCTACCTCCTGCCAATTGCAGGACACAGAGACCAGAAAGAAGCCAGGGCCACCAGAGGCCCTCCCTGCCAGGACCACGACAGGGATGTCTCCCTTGGCCTTTCCTCACCCTGTGGTCCAGAGGTCTTCGCGGCTTCCCTCGTGGCTGGTTGAGAGGAAGCAGAAAGCCAGCCCCGTCTGACACGGTGACCCAGCCGCGGGATGGCCGCCCCACCCTGCCTGCTGCTTTTCCATGTGAAAGGTGTTTAATTATTTCTGACAGAGTTCAGCCTCGACATCTGTTCAGGAGCGGGGAGGGTCCATTTAGGTTATCCATCACCGTGACAGGTTCAACTTTTTTGGAAGTGCATTTTCCCATCATAGTGGCGCTAGGGTGGGGGCAGCAGATCAGCAGTGACATGTGACCCAGACAAAGACCCTCCTGGGGCTTCATGTACCATGAAACGACAGCAGCCTGACCTGGCTCTCCAGTGCTTTTTGAGCACAGGCCCTGAGTTGGCAGCAGGGATGTGGCGGTGCTGGGGCATCTGTGTGGGTAGGAGGGTTTCATTGTGCCTGTGGGAGGCTTTGAAAATCTTTGGTCATTCTGGGCTGGTTACTTATTCACGCATTCGTTCCAAGGGTTACCACCACCTCTTCTGTGCAGGCACCCTGCTTAGCTCTGGGGCCATGACTAGGGCCTTGAAGCTTGGTTTTTGTGGACTCACACATTAGGAAGGAAGATGAAAGTCTGTCTAGTTAATCACCTGACTGCCAAGTTGCTAAGCTCTTCAAAGGGAAGCAGCGAGGCCTGAGGCGCCCCTTGGTGATGAGGGGGGACCTGGCGGGGTTGCCACAGAGGCAGGAAGAAGTCTCAGGAGCACTTGAATTAAGGCAGCTCTATCCTCAGCATCCATACGGGTACACTGGTACCTACAAAATTGTGTTCATCCAACACTTTGTGCTGCAGGCTCAGTCAATACTGCTATTGGCCTATGTCCTATAATGTCAGCTCTCAGGGCTTTAAGAGTCTCTGCTGGGCAGATAACACACCTGATAGAACCTGGTGCATATACTATGTTCCAGGGACTGTGTGACGGGTGACTGGGACACTAACTTGCAGGATCCCAGGGGTGTCCTTGGAAGACACAGAGGAAGGGCTTGGGGCTCGTTCTTGCCCTTCTGTCTCATAGTTAGTGTGTTATCAGCATGGGCAATGAAGGCACAATCCAAGGATGCAGGCTAGCCACTCTAGGGAGTCTGGAGATGCACCAGATGCAGACTTCGCCTGCAAGGCAGGGTTAGGGTGTTTGTTCTGAGGACAAAATGACATTATCTACACACACTAGCCATACATGACACCTGCCACCAGAAAGAGTTGTCATTGCTGGGTTACTGCTTCTCATAGCAGTACCTCAGAAGTCCTAATGAGTAGCAGAGCTCCTCAGACCCCGAGACAAACCCCCTCTCTTGCAAACAGAAACACTGAATTATTTCTACCCTTGAGCTCCTGTCAGGGCCAGCTACTGTAAAAATAGAGGCCACCTGGAGGGCATCTTGTGCCTTTGGGAGCTAGGGGTCCTGGTGCCCCTCTGGCAATGTCACCCAGATGCCTACATGCACTTGGTCACTGGTATAATAGAAAGAAAAAAAAAAGGCCAAGGAGGAAATGAAAGAGAGGAGGGGCCCGGGGGAAGGTTGTGAACAAGTGAATGCAAGTAGAGAGATCTGTGTGGGACGTTAAGAGAGACGGAGAAACGGGAGGGAGGCTTTGCTGTTGAGGCTCCGAGCTGACAGGTGCTAAGAAGTGGCAGTGTGGTGGTGACTCCTGCCACCTCCTGATCAGTGTTTGGTCATGTTCTTTCGGTGACATTTGCTGTGAGCTCAGCAGAGGCCTGGGCTGATGGGCAGCGGGGCACATGGTCACTGACATATGTCGATGGAGGCCACTTGGGCAGGACACGAGAGGCCACATCCAGCGGGCCAAAGCAGCTTTCCCGCTGAAGCTCAGCGGCTTGTTCAAGTGCATTAAGCTCAGGAAGGCAGCCACCCCTTCACTGTCCAACTCGCAGTTTCGGGCGGCACAGCCGGGCTGGCTGGCTGGGAATATTGCTCGTGCAGCTGTCTTGATGGGACCAGGGACATCCCTCATGACCTTCAAGAAAGATTCCTTCTGCCTGGGTTGGGTACACACAGCCTCTGCAGCCTCTTCCTTGTCCTGGACCCAGCATTTTCAGCCCCTCCCATTTCCCTTAGTCTGTACAATGCTACTTCTCTTACCCCCCCAACCCCCCCCCCACACACCCATTGTCATTGTCCTGCTAAAAATTGCTGAACGTGTGTCTCTGCCTGGGTGTTACAGGAACACACGGGTGAAAGAACACAAGGTCAGCTCTAAAGCCAGAGCACACGATTCATCTTCAGTCAGCACCCACCCCACTTCTGGGAGGAACCTAAGGTCATTTCCTGCCTCTCAACGGGGGGTGTCATCACACAGGTGGATTAGCAGTGAGGGTCCAAGCTTGTTTCCCACCTGGGTACATCTTTCCCTTACACGAGGACACTGTCACTAGGGTGATGCTTCTACCCAAGACAGCCTCTGCTTCTGGGTAGCCAGCCATCCCATGCTGAGATGGCCTGAGATCTCCCAAGACTCTGCCTCTTCCCAGCATTCTCCATGTTTCCTGTCTGTAAAACAGGTCAATATCAGCAGGTTGCCCCATGGGTGCTTATCAAGAGTCTCAGCTGAGGGCTGTTGGGATGGGGAAGCGGAGACAGGAGGATGCCCAGAAGCCTTCTGTACAACCAACACGGGAATCCACCTGGCTTCAGGGGAAAGACAAGGAACCACATGCAAGCTTGTTCTCACTGTAGACATCTGCACTCACATACACACATACACATATGCATACTCCTGCCCACCCCTGTGCACATGCTAGATACACATTTAAAAAAAATAGACTCTCTGATGAGCTAAGTGGGCTCAGAACCTGGATGGGGGATAAGTTCATGATATCAGGTGTCACCTGCTGCTGTGTTCTGAGCATCAGTGGTCAGAAGCCCACAGAACCCCGAGACAAGTACGCATCAGCTAGCCCAGTTTTGGTGCAGAAAGGAGATGAAAGGACCACTGACCTTCTGGAAGTGAGGCATGTGCCAGAGGGCATCCAGCTTCACGGGCGGCTTGTACTTCCTCAACTGACTGCTCCTTGTCTCATATAGCTTCCCCAGGATCACCTGTAGGCCAAAAAGGCAGTAGTGAGATGCTTGCCCTGTGACCTGGAGGCTTTGGAATCACCATGGAAACAAACCCTCTGAGTAAATCCGTGGAGTGGTCTCTAGATTGGGCTAATTGAGGAAGGAAGACACACATTGAATGTGAGGTCTGCCATCACACAGCCCGGGGTCCTGGACAGAATGGATAAAGAGAAAGTGAGCTGAGCAAAGATATCCATCTCTCCCTGCTTTCTGGTTGGTCCTTCTCCACCATAGATGCACCAATGTAATTCCACCTCCATCCTTCTCCACCATAGATGTATCAGTGTAACTCCACCTCCATCCTTCTCCACTACAGATGTATCAGTGTAACTCCACCTCCATCCTTCTCCACCATAGATGTATCAGTGTAACTCCACCTCCATCCTTCTCCACCATAGATGTATCAATGTGACTCCACCTCCATCCTTCTCCACCAGAGATGTATCAGTGTAACTCCACCTCCATCCTTCTCCACCATAGATGTATCAGTGTAACTCCACCTCCATCCTTCTCCACTACAGATGTATCAGTGTAACTCCACCTCCATCCTTCTCCACCACAGATGCATCAGTGTAACTCCACCTCCATCCTTCTCCACCATAGATGTATCAGTGTAACTCCACCTCCATCCTTCTCCACCATAGATGTATCAGTGTAACTCCACCTCCATCCTTCTCCACCAGAGATGCATCAGTGTAACTCCACCTCCATCCTTCTCCACTACAGATGTATCAGTGTAACTCCACCTCCATCCTTCTCCACTACAGATGTATCAGTGTAACTCCACCTCCATCCTTCTCCACTACAGATGTATCAGTGTAACTCCACCTCCATCCTTCTCCACCACAGATGCATCAGTGTAACTCCACCTCCATCCTTCTCCACCACAGATGTATCAGTGTAACTCCACCTCCATCCTTCTCCACCACAGATGCATCAGTGTAACTCCACCTCCATCCTTCTCCACCACAGATGTATCAGTGTAACTCCACCTCCATCCTTCTCCACCACAGATGTATCAATGTAACTCCACCTCCATCCTTCTCCACCATAGATGCACCAATGTAACTCCACCTCCATCCTTCTCCACCATAGATGTATCTATAGATGTATCTTCACACACTGAGCCTAAAGAAAGCCTCTTTAAGTCGGTTTTCTTTTTGTCATACCTGTCATAGCAACAACACAGCTAACACACCAAGGCAATGACCAAGGAGCTTGGGTGACAAGCTCGAGGGTCACTTTCCTCTGGGCTTTGATCTTTCTCCTGGGCCATTTCACAGTCCCGTCCCAGTGTCCCTGCCACTGTGTACAGTTCTTAGTTCTTTTGATTCTAGTTCCCCTGAGCAGCAGCTGGGAGGGGGTTGCCCTCACACCCCTCCTGCCCTAAAACTAACACAATTCCTGGGGTTCACACAGAACTCTAGTATCTGTGTGAAGAAATGTATGATCCAACAGGGTGTCACTGTCCCATGGAGCAGGTCCATATGATGGCCCACCCAGGAGGAGGAAGGGGGGGTGAGTGTCTTGGGGGAGAGGGAACATGAACTCCTTTAGAGCCTGGGAGGTCTCTATAGGGTTTCAAAGGTGGGGGAACCCTGATTCCATGTTCACCAATAGGTACCAGCAGGCCCATAGCCAGTGCTGTAGTTCATGGTGTCTGTCCAGAACTGAGGTGTGTCCTTCCAAACTCAGATGGTGCAGTCCTAACCGTGATGTGATTGTGTGGAGATGATGCTCATGAGGAGTCACTGAGGTTAAACGGAGTCAAGGGTGGTTCCCATCCAACGCAGCTGGAGCCATTAAAACAGAAACTTTTGGATTGGTTTGGTTTTCTTCTTTTTTAAAATAATTTATTTGTTTTTATTTTATATGCATTGGTGTTTTGCCTACATGTATGTCTGTGTAAGGGTTTCGGGTGCCCTAGAACTGGAGTTACAGACAGTTGTGAGCTGCCATGTGGTTGCTGGGAATTGAACTCAGGTCCTCTGGAAGAGCAGTCACTGCTCTTAACCACTGAGCTATTTCTCCAGCCCTTGTTTTGTTTTTTTGAGACAGACTTTCTCTGTGTAGTCCTGGCTATTCTGGAACTCGCTCTGTAGACTAGGCTGTCTTTGAACTCACGGGCATCTGCTTGCTTTTGCCTCCTGAGTGCTGGGATTAGAGGCATGTGCCACCATCACCCAGGCTTTAACTAGAGCCTTTAGAACAAGGGGGTGGATGATAAGTGTTCTCTCTCCAGCATGTCAGGACACAGTGGAAGGTGGCCACCTGCAGCTAAGGAGCGAGACCTCAGCAGAAGTCAGTCCAGCAGGCACCTTGAACTTGGAGTCACAGAGCTGGGAGATGTTGGAGTAGTGAGGTGGGGGATGGGGAGGCACAGGCACCCAATGGGTTCCAGCCTCTCTAGGAGGCCTCCTGAGCCTGCCCCTCTGCTCCTTTACTGCCTTCCTTCCTGTAGTCTTAGTTGTGGCAGTTCCCTGGGGACAAGCCCTGGGGTAGGCTAGGACTTGAACCTTGGCTGGCCTACATCTGAATTCTTCACATTTCTATAAATGTCCTGGGCACTATTTGTGGCATATGAGCCCAAGTTGTACAATGGCCTTCTCCCTGTTCCTAGAACTCTTCCAACTGTTTTAGCTCAAAAGGGTAGAACCCCAGGCCATGGCTTAAAATGACCTAGGTGGAAGCAAATGTCTGTGACAGCCAGAGAACTGAGGGAGGGAAGCAGGCTGTCTCCACAAATTCATATGGCCAAGCTGCACTGTAATGTAATGTCCACCAGGAACTTCCGAGCCCTTAGGCTGGATATTCACTCTGCCTTCTAGAACAAGACTGAGACTTTAAGTCAAAGCAGAGAAGCTGTCTAGTCAGAGGTGGCCAAGCTGGCCTTCAGGACGCAGCAGACAGCCCTGTGGTCTTTCTAGTGCTCCATTTCCTGACTAGAAAAGGTGGCCAATGCCTGTCAGTCATGGTTCTTGTAGGAGCTGCTCATGGGTGCTTCGAGCACAGTAACTAGCCCAAGGTTCACTGTCACCAAGAACTTCATTGGGGGTTATTGCTGTCCAAGATCCTGGGTCCCCTCAGCAGCATGCTGGTTTATAGCAGAGCCAGGTTTCCTCTGGGATGTGGGTGGTTTGGCCTTGAAAACTTATCGTCTTTTTTTTTTTTTTTTTTGAGCTAAGGATCGAACCCAGGGCCTTGTGCTTGCTAGGCAAGCGCTCTACCACTGAGCTAAATCCCCAACCGGAAAACTTATTGTCTTTTCAAGCCTGGTAAATTGTGATCAGCTCAGACAGCAGCCCCAGCCCCTGGCAGCTTCGCCAGCATGTTCAAGACAGCACGATACCTACAAAGACTTGGAGCAGGGTGCTGGAGGCACAGTTCAGCGGGTAAGGCGCTGGCCAGGCAAGTGTGAGGACCTGAGTGCAGATCCCCAGTACTCACATAAAAAGCTGGTGTGGTGGTCCATGTCTGTAACCTCAGCTTTGGGGAGCTGGAGATAGGCAGATGCCGGGCCTTGCTGGGCAGCTAGTCTAGATGAACCAGTGAGCTCCAGGTTTAATCACAGACTCTCTCTCAAAAGACAAGGTGAGACTGACTGAGGAAGACAGTGTTGACCTTTGGCTTCTACATGTGTGTCTGTAAACCTGAATGTGTCACACACACACACACACACACACACACACACACACACACACACACACAGAGAGAGAGAGAGAGAGAGAGAGAGAGAGAGAGAATGATAAGAGAATTCTGAAGCTGGCCTGCCCTTTTCTGAGTGCCTGGTCTGTGCTAGGGCATAGGACTCAGGACATTATATCCCAAATTACTACCTCAGCCTCTGGAAAAGACATACCCAGCAAGTTCCTCCAGCGCAGCCACCCTTCATCCTTGAGGTGGGACCCACATCCCAGGAAGGATGCTGTGTCCATCTGCTGCAGGGCCCTGAGACCTCTGAAGGGCTGCTTTACTACAGGAGGAAAGGACCACCTTGTCTCTGAAACATGCAGGGCACAGAGGAGAATCCGAGCACACGTACCTTGCAGGATCACCCTCTGATCACAATCTCTTCCTCTTCCCCAGGACGACCCACCACCTCCTCAAACCCAATACGAGAACACACAGGCTTGTTTCTTTGGCTCTTCTTTGCAAAGATTCCTGAGTCAGGAGGAATTTTTATCCCACATGCTTTTTTCCTGCTGATTTAAAAATTTTTAAATATTTTATTTGATACACACACACACACACACACACACACACACACACACACACACACACAGACACTTGGGGGGATGTATCCATGTGTACAGCTGCCTGCAAAGGCCAGAGGCGCTTGATCCCTCTGGAGCTAGAATGATAGGTCATTGTGAGCCACCAGACCTGGGTGCTGGAAACTGAACTCAGGTCCTCCGGAAAAGTAGTATGCTTTCTTAGCCCCTGAGCCATCTCTCCAGCTCTGTTCATCTCTTTTATCACACAGGCCTCAGCTATGAACCCAGGATGGATGGAAAGGAAGATAGTTTTCCTCCCCTAGGCTGGTTCCACATGGGTGTCTGCTTTAGCAGGAGGGGCAGAGAGGCTCTGAGCCATGGGAACCAGCTGTTGATTAAAGTGTGACACTCCCCTGTGGAGCTACAAAGCAGCTTGGGGCAGTAATGCTTCCTCCACACTGTCACACAGCGTGTTGACTCCTGAGGTAGCAACAGACTAACCACAGGCCACTTTAAAAACATTTCAATACTGAGCTCTCTAATGAAAACCAGGCCACTGGGAGACTATGTGGTCCCTTCCTGGGAGGCTCCCCTGAGCCGCAGTGTGGCCCTAGAACCATTTTTGCTGTTCTCCTAGTGTTCGAGAAGTCAGCAAACGAGGGCTCCAGCTGCAGGAGGAGCCTGCACTTGACCAGAGAGCCGTCGGAGTCATTTCATCTCTGTCTCTTTTCTCCTTGAGTGTGTGCACGTGTGTGGGGGTGCACACACACACACACACACGCGTGCACACGCCTGTGGATGTCAGAGGCCTGTGTTTGGCGTCTTCTTCAATTGCTCCTCACCTTGTGTTTTTTAGAGAGAGTTTCTCACTGAACATAGAGCTTCCCAGTTAAACCCCAGGGATTCTTGTCAGCCCCCTTCTTCATCAGCACTAGACACTCAGCCTTTTTTTTTTTTTTTTTGGTTTTTTGAGACAGGGTTTCTCTGTGTAGCTTTGCGCCTTTCCTGGAACTCACTTGGTAGCCCAGGCTGGCCTCGAACTCACAGAGATCCGCCTGTCTCTGCCTCCCGAGTGCTGGGATTAAAAGTGTGCGCCACCACCACCCGGCTGACACTCAACTTTTAACGTCGATGCTGGGAATCCAAACTCAGGTCCTGATGCTTTCCTGGCAAGTATTGTATCAACTAAGCCATCTCCCCAGCCTCCGCTGCTTCATTTCCCTGAACCTCAGTGTCTCCATGAAGTGAAGCAAACTAAGATCCTAGGGTGAGATGCTGACCTGATGGAATTCTCAGATGCCTGAGGACAGGACATGGGGCACTTGCCAGCTCTCAGGGAAGGAAGTAATGCTTGGTCCTGTCTGTGATTGTTGCAACATCCGAGATCTGCATGTGCTGCTTTGTTCTGCTCTCAGGTAGGATCTCTCCCACAGCCCAGGCTGGCCTCAGACTTGGTAGGCAGGCGAGGGTGGCCTTGAACTCCTGATTCTTCCGCCTCCACCTCCCAGGTGGCGGCATGATGGGCGCATGACACTATACCTGGCCGGTGCCCTACTCCCAGGGAAATCTAAAAAGCACAAAATCTGACTTGGCAGTCACAGGTCTGGATCAACTGAGGAGGCACCATGAACTCTCTCGAAGTCTGAAGTTTGGAATATTTTAAAGGAAGAGCCTTTGAGTACTTTAAAATGCGCAGGGCAGCATAAAGAAAAGCAGGGAGTATTTTTTTGGTAAAATCTCACCAAAATGACTTCCTGCCCATTGCTAATGACTCACATCAATCGCAACTGGAGGAGTTTGGGTGCAACAGGGACCCTGGACCCCACTTCTCTGTGCTGCCCTGCCTTCTCCACATAGCTTTCCCTGCCTAGGATGTAGGATAAGGATGCCTCCTGGGATCCGGTATGAGAAGATGTGTTCCTCATGAGAGGATTACTCACTACTTAGTAACAAAATGCTTTCCTACTGTTTAAGAAAACATTTCTTTAACACACCCTTATAGACAGGTTTCCTACCCTGTCATACCAGCCAGTGTGGAGCACATGTCTGTCTAGGCTGGTGGAATGGGAGCCTAGTTTCCTCTGTAGGAAGGTCGGATAGGAGTTCAGGAAAAGATCTCCATGCAAGAGTCAATGTGACTGGGTCCTAATCCCAGCTGGGAGGTGACAGGACCTGCTGACTGGTGTCCAGCCATCTTTTTCACCATCCAGAATTAGGTGCAAGCAGAACCAGACCATCACTGAGACCGGTACAGATCTGAATTTCTCTGCAGCAGGATGTGCCTGCACCCCTGCCTCCTGCCCCAACCACACACTGACTGACTCCACTGATGCTGACTCCTCTCTTCCCTCCCCAAGCTTCAGCCCTCAGAAGTGGGGGCAGGACTACCTTCTGTTTCTTCTCCAGTTTGATGGCTTGCTGAGTGGCCTTCTGCTCCTGTACCCACAACTGCTGGTACCGATGTTGTAACAGGTCAAAGAAGGGTGTGGACGGCCTGTGGGGAGAAAGTTTCACAGAGCTTGAGGCCTGGGGAAGACCAGGGCACCCACATATAGAACAGACACCCCCTCTCCACAGAGCACAGGCCCCACCGTCTGCAGACCACATCACCCTCCCCAGGGCCAGGAAAGGCTTCCTGTAGCACCCAGAAAACCCAGAGAATCAGGTCACATACACAAACTGCTCTGCAAACAGGGGGAGCCTCCACGTGTTATCTGGATAGTACAAAGATTCTGTCCTTAGACTGATGTTGATTAGGGCTCCTAGGTTCCCCGGATCCCTTTCTGCTATGCCTCACCCACCCAGGGCTCTGCCCTCGGTCTGCTGAGGCTAGTATTGCAGAAGACTCCTGCCAAGCAGGCGGTCTAGCCTCAGTGTCTGATTTCCCTGGGAACTGCTTGGGATCTTCATTCCCAGCCTTGGGGTCTGATTGTTCTGGTCCTCGTCAGCAATAATGCCACCAGGTTGGATGAGCAAAATGCTCCCCACCCTTGGGGTCTCTCCTCACTTAAACTCTGTCCCTGCTCTGGAGATGTTGGCTCCACTTTTGTCAGTCCCACTGGCCTGGTGGAACTAATCTCAACTTTACACAAGGACCTATCTCTTTCTGAGGCAGCACTAGATGTCTTCATGGCTTGCAGCCTGGAACACTGAGCCAGTACTGAGTGCTCTGCAGGTGCTGTCTGCAGGTGCTGTCTCCAGGTGCTGTCTGCAGGTGGTATCTGCAGGTACTGTCTGCAGGTGCTGTCTTCAGGTATCATCCTTTATCATTTTAGTGATGAGGAGGAGAGGCTGGTCCCAGAGCAGTGTGGGGCAGCACTCCAAGTGTGGTTGGTTGAGCCATAAGGCTCAAAGCTAACGTATATCTAAATCTCCCAAAGTGGGTGGGGCGCCGCTCCCAGGTTGGGGCTGAGCTCTAAGATAGAGTGTGCAGCTGCTCTGTATAGCGAGGTCATGAAGAAAGCAGACTGTGGCAGTGCAGCCATTTCTTCTGCCTCCCATGTTTGTGCCCCTCACAGAGCAGCACCATGTTGGACCAGAGTATCTGGAGGCTCACCACCTCTGTGGTCTGTCATAGCCACTCTGAGAATGGCCGAGGGGGAAGAATGTGCCATTTTCAGTGGAAAACAAGTGATATTGGTTATGATGACTGTGTACTTGGATCTGGATTTGGTGCTCCTTTCTTTATAGGGAGGCACCAGCTACTTAAAATGAGGATATTCAATTCATCCCTTTAACAGAATGAAGATTGTGTAAGAGATGTGATCTGGAAATTGGATTAAACTTTTGAACTCTAATTACTAAATAAAATCGTTAATAAACAAAAAGTGTGAAAATGGACAGTGGCCATGTACCAAGAAAAACTCTGATCCTCAAGTTCAGTACCTGCTCAGGAGGCAGGCCTGTTGCCTATACTGCCTAGCCAGGAAACTGCCTGGTGACCAGACAGGCAGCCATCCCACTGCCTACGGGGACCAGACAGGAAGCCATCCCACTGCCTACGGGGACCAGACAGGAAGTCATCCCACTGCCTACGGTGACTAGACAGGAAGTCATCCCACTGCCTACGGTGACCAGACAGGAAGCCATCCCACTGCCTACGGGGACCAGACAGGAAGTCATCCCACTGCCTACGGGGACCAGACAGGAAGCCATCCCACTCCCTACGGGGACCAGACAGGAAGTCATCCCACTGCCTACGGTGACCAGACAGGCAGCCATCCCACTGCCTACGGGGACCAGACAGGAAGTCATCCCACTCCCTACGGGGACCAGACAGGAAGTCATCCCACTGCCTACAGTGACCAGCCAGACAGCCACCCCACTGCCTACGGTGACCAGACAGGCAGCCATCCCACTGCCTACGGGGACCAGACAGGAAGTCATCCCACTGCCTACGGGGACCAGACAGGCAGCCATCCCACTGCCTATGGTGATGAGACAGGAAACCATCCTAACTGCCTATGATGATGAGACAGGAAGCCATCCTAACTGCCTATGATGATGAGACAGGAAGCCATCCTAACTGCCTATGATGATGAGATAGGAAGCCATCCCACTCTGTCAGTCTTGCATAAAATAAAGCTATCAACTCACTCAGGAGATGGAGGCAGGAGAATCACAAGTTCAAGGTCACCTTCAGCTATGTGAGTTTAAGGCCAGCATGGGTTACATGAAACTTCATCTCAACATAATTTTCAAGTTGGGTGCAATGAGGAAGCCTGCTAGATACTGAGACCCTGTCTCTAAAAATATGTGATAATGGGGCTGGAGAAATAACAGGGCTCAGCAGTTAAGAGCACTGGGTGCTTTTGCAGAGGACCCAGCTTCTGTTTCCAGCACCCACATGGCAGATCACAACTATCTGTAACTTCAGTTCCAGATTGGATATCCTCTTCTAGCTTTCAAGGGCACCAGGCCCTTGATACATAGCCATACATAAAAACTTAAATATATAATAATAATTAGTTAGAATAATCAGTAGAAGTGTGGGTGATGCTCATTAGTGGTGGCTGAACCGGCTAGAAGGCTAATAGGAAATGCCTGGCCAATGGTCGCTTCAGCCTCAGTTCAGAATGGCCAGGCCTCAGTGCTATCACCACCACTGTGGTAAACAGCCACAGCATGAGGGTGCTCCTCTAGGCTAGGGACATTCCAGTGGTGGAGTGCTTGCCTAGCTTGTGTGAGGTCCTGGATTTGAGCCCCAGTACCACAAACCAAATAAATGATCATTTCAACCCTGCTAGCGGTGGCAGCCAGCAGAGATTATTCCAGAAGCCATGCCCCGGGAGGTGTGTGGAATCTTCTGGCACATGTGTGGAGAAAGGTGACCAGCCCTCCAGACCAGCACTATCCAGTAGACTCGCCACCCAGAATGCAAGCTGGAGCCTCGAATGAGGGAGGGGAGAGGTGACAGCTCAGGACCAGACTTATGACCTCCAGAGCTGTGAGGACTGGAGCTCGTGTTGTCTACCCCCCTTCCCATCTTCTTCCCTAACCTCCCTCACCCCTTTGTGGCAACTTGTTAAGGAAGCTCCAGTGTGCTCTGGAATATGACCTGGGAACTGCTGTCTGGGCCTGAATTGAAGTCGGAGCCAGAAACACTAGAGACAGTAATTCAGGTTTTCTCTCACTCCTGAGACTCACGACCTGGAGGGCTCAAGATGCTGAGCTGCATACAGACACCCATCTGAATGGTCATAGTGCTGACAGTTTTCCAAATCAGCCAGAGAGGGTATCAGGAGCCGCTCAAACCTGAGATGAGTGGTAGAGACACAGGAGAAGCAAGCCCCCATGTCTGCCCAGCAAGGTCCAGAGGCTGCAAACCTCTGCCCCTGGGTTTGCTGGATCTGGTCTGTACGGCAACACCGAAAGTCTGAAATCATTGTCAACGGTTAGAGATACAGATGTTTGGGGCTCGGTTGTTGATGCTCAGTCTGTGTAGTGCTTGCTGTATAAGCCTGGGGACCTGATGCTAATCCCCAGAATCTGTGTAAAAACAGCCCGATGTGTTGGCGTGCACTGGTGATCCTAGAACTGGGGGAAACGGGGGACCAGCAGGTCCCTAGGGCTCTCAGGCCAGCAGCCTAGTCTTCTTGACAAGCACTAAGCCAGTGAGAGACTCTCTCTCAAAAAACCAGGTAGACCTCTGAGGAATGGCACCCACGGTTGACCTCTGACCTCCACATGCAGGTACACACACGCACACCTACGTACACACACCCTACACACAAATAGGACAGTCAACGTCTCAAAACAACTTTTCAGATTGTTGTGAAAGTGTGTAAGTTCTGACCACATAGGCCCGCATTCCCAGTTGGTGTGATTGGCTGGCACTGAGTCTCAGCTGCCATTAGCCCTGGTTCTCAGTCTTCCCCGCTGCCCTGGCACTGGTGAGTGAGACTGTGTGACCCTGGAGACAACCAGATAGTTAGCCAGGACCCTAAATATCCACCCACTTCTCCAAACTATTGCAACTTGGCATGAGGGCACCAGAGGACCTGGGATTCTGGCTAAGTTGGATTCTATTTGAGAAGCAGCCCAAGGCTTTGATTCCCATAGACAGACAGTGGCTCTTTGTTCCTGCCTCCTGTACCCCTGTGGTGACTTTTATTACTTAATTATTACACGCCCCATGCCTCTGAGCAGCCTAATTTATAGCTGTGCTGTCTAAAGACACTGTGTGCGTAATCTGGAAATATCTACCCCAAGAGGCCGCTCCCAGCGAACAGCCCTCTTCCCCGCAGCCCCGCGTATCCATCACTTCACACCAGCTCTTCAGCCCTCCCCTAGCCTGGCTGACCGACTCAGCGTCCTGCTCTGGCCAGCCCAGCAATTCTTATTCTCTGGAAAGAGGCAGTGGGGGCTGAGCCAAGGGGAACCTAGGATGCCGTGAGTTATGGCAGGCAGCCCTGGCCTAGGCCCTCCATGGCCACCCGCAAGCTGGCTAGTTTCTGTTCTGGCTCATTAACGTGGATAAACAGGTGCAGAGGCTGGCCTGGTGTGGAGAAAACTCAGGCCATAAATTGGATGTTATCACCCCTGCATGGTCTCCAGTTTCAGAGCTAGGCCTGGACTCGCAGCCATGGTCCACCAGGCTCAGCTTTCTCTTCAACTCCTGGCATTCACCCTACCCTGCATGGCTTCCCCAGACTTCCAGCCCTTCTGGGTGGAGTTCTCCTAGCCAGCACATGCTCATACATGCACACATGTCATCTCTTCTCGTTTGGGCCTCAATTGTGGGGTTGCCTCCTCCAAGGGCTGGTTCCCAGCTACCCTGCCCTAAACAGCCCTGGCTAGGCGTTTCCCACCTGAGCATAAGCCCGTTTATCCCTTCTGGCCCCAGTGGAGCCCCAGAGGGCAGAAACAGTTCTGTGCCTGCTGTGAGCTGACGTGCTCCACCCTGCATAGGTATGTGGAGGGTAATAAAGACCTGAGCTAAATCCCCTAGAACCCATGTTTAAAAAACAAACAAAAAAACACTGGGCGTGGTGG